ACATCCTCATTTCTGTCCTACAGTGCATGTTCTGTATCCTTCTCCATGTACAGTTCTGGTGCTGCAATAACTGTAGTTATATCCTGCTTTAGAAGGTGTTTAGTAATTACAATAATAGTATCATTTGGGGAATCTAATCTCTGCTGGTTTATACCTCTTTTTCTTTCAAGTTGCAAGAATTGCAACAACAGCTTTGTCCTTCTTCTAATTTATTCCTTATTCCATTTCACTCTTGTTTCTGATGAAACAACCCCTCACAATCTGATATCAGTGAAAGCCAGCACAGTGTCAAAAGCAAGTCCCACGTCTGGCTGCCAAGCAAAAGACAAAATGTACCAGAAGAATGCTGTGCAGCAGCAGTACTTCCAGGAGGCAGCCTTCTTCCAGATCTTGTCCCTGGTGTGTCACTGCTACAGAGAACACAACCAATATGTTTTAATGAAGAATATTGGCAGCTGACTGGAAAAGAAAAAACTGTGTTTATTCTTCCTGTAACACCATTTACTATTATGGCATATATTTACTAATGGCATTACTGCCATTTATACATGTTCAGGGGATATTCCCAACTATGCTTCCAGCCTTGACCATTTCAGCCCCTGCCTCTGGTGATCCCTATCCAACACCAGAGAAAAATTGTTGGGTATTGCTTTTTTTTTTGTTGTTGTTGTTGGTTGGTTTTGTTTTTGTTTTCTCCATGTGGATAAATTAAATCATTCCATTTCCAGTGAGCCTCATGGATAGTTGTAGCAGCATAACAGGAGACAGTGAAAGGGAACAGAGATGCAGGAGCAAAAAAGAGTGACAGGAAGCAAGAAATTCCTCCACTGGCTTTGTTGCTTAAATAAACATGTGGAATTGTACCTAGAACTAGCTTTATATTACCTGCTGAGCAGCTGGTGAACTACAGAGCACAACAGTGGTTACCTGCATATTTTCTAGGTTTCAGAAGTGGACTCTGCAGCCTGTGTTGGTACCATGACAACACTGCCTGTGGTACCTGGAATAGCTCATTTAAACATAGCCTGTACATGGTCTCCATGAGCTTTGGTCTGTGCAGACATACAGCAAGACATAATTATGGACTTTTCAAATCCAAAGTTAAACATTATGTTACGGCTGCCTTTCTTTCACTTCCACAGTCCCTTCTGCAGTTATATCTCAGGCCTGTTGACTTCAATCTGTTTGTTTTCAAAACACACCTGCAGGGCAGGCAAGCAGCCCTATCTGTGTCCTGTCGAGTGAGATATGAGAACACACTCAAAAGCAGCAAGAATCACTTGGGACAAGTGATTTACTACTCCAGCTGTGTGAGGGCAGCCATCAGTGCCACAGGAGAGCTGATGGGCTGTGTGGCTCTTCATTCCTCAGCATAATACTGCGTATCTGCACTTTACTGCTTGAGGGTGGCCCAAGCTACTCTGACTTGCACACAAAGTGGGCAGGGAGCAAGAGCATTGTGTGCCCTGTGGGCTGGGCTATGGGGTGATTGCTGTGCAGGAAGCACTGTCCTGAAATGCCAGATATATGGGGATTCACTCTAGGAGTTTGCAGTGTAGCAGAATATTGATGCCAATGCACATCATTATCAGTCGCTAAGCATCCTCTCTCCCTCATGAAAATTAGCCTTCCCTCTGAAATCCTTCTAAGTGTTGTAATTATGAAAGTACAGATATTTTTAAGGCAGTTGAGTAAATGTACAAGTCATGGCGATTTTGTGCTTTAAAAGCTCAGCCACTATTTATATAATTGGGTTATAATCATAGAGGAGGAACTGGAAGCCTCACCCTGCAGTGGTAAAAATGTCAGAGGTGCCCTCGCCCCCACCTCTGCCAGAAGTTGCTGTGGGTGAATTGTGCAGGCCATGGAGAAGCCCTAAACAAGCTACCAGAAGTCTGCCTTTAAAATGTTGTGGGTCTGGGGATTTTAACCAGGTCACTTTGCAAATCCAATTTGGAGTTTGCTGCATACATTATATGGATAGTCCTTGCATTGGGGCAACCTGCATGTACCGAGATTTGCTGCTGGAAAATTGGCAACCCCTTAAATGAGGTTTGTGCAGATCTGCATGACTGTAGTGATATAAGGCTTAATCTTTATTGAGTCCATTGAATTTGGGGGAAGAAGAAATGCCACTTTTACTTTATTGTGATATAGAAGTCAATGTTTAAGTTCTAGAAGATTCACTTCTGGGATATGCTGAAGTGATCTTCTTTTCAGAAGCTGCTGTGCACTTGTCCTGGGAGGGATAAGTGAACAAGTAGGGGGTGGAGGCAGCAGAATCCTGGGCAGGGTGTGAGCACATGGGGTGGCCATGGGGAGGGGCAGGAGGGGCAGAGTTTCTCCAATTCCAGACTGAGATTCTCTTCATTAACTGGGCCGGGGCTGGAAGTATTGAAGCAAGATTATATAGTGGAGCTGTTTCAAGAGAGCTTGGGCTACTTCTGCTGTATTATTGTTTCCTTACCACTTCTTGTACCCCTGTGCCATAGAAGGATTAACCTCATGAAAATTCTTATGGCCTGAAAAAACTTCAGACTTCCAAAGCATGGGCCAAAGAGTAGCTGCATTCCATCATTATGTACATAGTTATGTTCAGGTTAGAGTTCGCCTGCTGTGAATGTACCTTTTTTCAAGCTTTTTTACTTCATTGTAATTTAACAACAATCTTTCCCATGTATTTAATGAAAGTATGTGCTGAGGCCTACAGATATTTCTGCCAGTATAGTCTTTACATCACAACTTGAAGTTATGTTAAGGAATGTGCAAGTTCTCTGGAGTGATCCTCCATTTTATTCTGAATCAGAAGTGGAAAAACAGGCAGGAACAACAAAGAGCAAATTTAAATTTCCTTCTTAAACCCTGCCAGTTCGAATAATCTCTTGCTGAGCTTCCTGATGTGGCTATTCACATTCCTTCATGAATTCAGACTGGCTGTTTGCAGCCTCCAAATAAAACATGGTTATATGGAGATTTACCTTGGCCCTGTTCTTGCTTGGCGACATGAGACTAAGAGAGCAGCCAACTGGTTCAGCTCATGCTATATGTCCTCTTCCAGCAACTGCTTCCTGTACAAGCCCACTGCTCTCCGAATTAATGGGATTGTTGCTTTAGCTCAAGATGTAGGAGATTTAATTCTGGTGTTTGTGTCAGCGATCAATGAAGTCAGGAAACTGCCTTTACAGAGCATTCAAAAGCCCTTTTATTCCAAAAGAATCAAATCCAGGCTTCTGTTAAATGCACTAAAGGCTGCCATCATTAAAACATTGAGGCTGCAAGTTTGGCCACAAAAATGTTACCGTAATGCAGTTGGTATTCAGTCCTTTCTGTCAGCATTGCCAAGTCTGGCTTTTATTTATTTATTCATTTTCACAAGTCTCATGTTTTTCAGGCATTCCATAAAGCCTCGGTGTTTACAGGCATCTTACTCACTGAGAATCTCAGCTTCCAGTTTTTAAAGATCTGCTATTAGCCCTCACGGACAGGGAGTAAGCACGAACGTGTGATAAGGCTGATCCTCACAGGCAAAACCAGAAGGCTCATAAAACCCCACATTTAAAAAGTCAAATATGATTTTTTAAGAGGATCTCATGAACTTGGTCTCCCATTTATGTGTCTCAAGTGCCTGGCATATACTCTGCTAATGATCGCCTGGGTCAGGCAGTGATGCGAGTGCAGAGGTGCTGTTAGATGCAGGGATCTCTGCAGCACTCAGACGGATTGGGGGAGGAATCCTCTTTCCATTTATTATATTCCTTTTTAACTTCATGGCCTGAGCCTTGCCCTGTGTACCCTGTTTACTGCGTGTTTCATAAAGGCCAGAGGACTCATCCTGTTGCTCTGAAACTGTTTAGCCCATCTTTGGCTGGATTTACTGTTCAGGAAGAACAAACGGTTCTTAGGAAAGCGCTGTATTTAACGAGAGAGCCAGGCTGGATTTTTTTCAAACAAACAGATAAAAGCCAGCAACTCTCAGCTTGGCATGGACTTCGCTGTTTTGTTTGTTGCATCACCCCATTGTCTTCTCTATCCCTTTTTTAAAATTTCTTTGTTACAACATTTCACAATCCACAGCCTGGATACTGTAATTCCTGAAGGAATGCATAGCATAATGAATACTGCATGATCACAATAATAGTATGCCTCGTGCAAAGCCATAGCAGCAAACGATGCAACATGGCTGTTACCCAATCATCCTTGCTTCACTGGTTTCTTTTATTTGAAGAAATTCTTTCAGATTCTCCTCACAGGGACTACCAAGTGAGAGGAAGTGTAACCTTTCTCCACCCAGCAACAAAAATGCAATGGTTTTGGAGCACTTCCCATTTCCATGATGTCTCTGTAGAACGAAGCACAGAGGTTAAAGTGGCCTGTACCTTCTTCCCCGGCTGCAAGCAGGGGAACTGGGGCACAGAGATGCTGGATGACCCACACATGGCAGCACATGGAGAAACAAGCTCTGCCTCGCAGGAGAAGCAGCTTTGCCAGACTGCTGGGGCCAGAGTTAACAGCACAACTTTTTAATTTGGGGAGTTTTAGCAGCACTTCCATATATCGAGATATTAATTAATGGCTTATTTTAAAAGGTCACGTTGAGTTTTTTTATTTTGTAAATTGGATTTTTGAGAAGCACTTCCATAGACCGAGATATTAATTAACGGTTTATTTTAAAAAGTCAGCTTGGCATTTTTGAGTGTCTCATTTCCGCGGCCGCTCCCGGGCACAGCGGCGGCCGCGAGGTCCCGGCACCGGGCAAGGACCAGGGTACCGGGGATGGCCCATGTCACCTTCGGCACCGCAGCTCGCACGCCCCACGGGAGCCCCGTGAGGGCATCCCAGAGAACGCGGGCAGGAAGGGGAACGGCTGGGCCGGGTGGGGCCGAGCCCCGGCCCGGCCCCGCTGCGCCGGCTGCCCGGGCGGGCCCTGCCCGCGGTGCCGCCCGGCCGCTCCCCGCCCGTCGCAGGGCTGACGCGGCGGCGCCGGCGCAGCTCCGGCCCGAGAGCGGCGGGGGCGGAGCGCGGCCCAGGCGGCGGCCGGGCTGAGCCGGGCGGCGCCGCGGGCAGAGGTGAGCGGGGGGCGGCGGCGGCGGCGGCGGCCCCGGCTCGCCCGGAGCTCGGCCCCGCGGCCGCGGAGCGGCGGGGCCCGGGCGCTGTCAGCGCGGGGCCGCGGGCGGACGGGCGGGCGGGCGGCGGCCGCGGGACGCCGCGTGTGGCTGCGCTGCCTTCCGGCCCTCCCTGCGCTCCGGCCTCCTGCCCTGCCCGCCCCGCGCTGTCCGGGGGCTGCCGCGGGGCTGTGACCAGCGGGAGTGGGGGGGAATCCAGGCACGCTGTGCCCTGGGCAGCACGGGGAGGCTCTCCCTGACTGCGTGCTGTGAGAGTTGGGTTGATGGTGGGGTTGGGAAGCTGTAGAAGGGAATTTTCAGGTGTTGCGAGAGCTTTGTTTTCTCCGTCACTGGGCTCTCGACCCCACTCCTCTGCCTCCAAGTTGTCTTCCCCCTGAGCCCCCCAGTCTGCAGTGTAAGCACAGCGCTTATCTGCTCCACTGCTATTTGCTCTCCCCTCCCTCAGCCCTTCCAAGCTGTGCTGGCCTGGAGGGCCAGGGAGCTCAGCAGCAACAGCAGCATTGGGTGCTGAGCCACAGGACAGGCACAGCAGAGATGGATTCCTCAGCTAAAGGCTGCGTTTAACTAACGTGCTCTACCTTTTCCAAACTCCACTCGTTCCAGACTTCCCGCTCAGAAGAGAGATGGGTTGCCTTTGGTAATACCCTCAGCTTTTCATGTTGCTAACACAAGAAAATAAGTGATTTTTAAAATCTGCAGGAAAATGTGTTTAATACTTGTAGAAATACACTCTCTCTTAAGGAAGGCCTTCAGAAAGCATCAAGGAGACCCTTAACCTCAGATACATTCAAAGACCTCAGATGAAATACCAGTTTCTATTCCCTTCACAGAGTTTGGAGAGCTAAGTTTGATGGACTTTGTTTCAGCTACTCCCATGCTTCTGCCTTGCAGAGGTATTCAGGAAGGAAGGAACAGAGCTAGAGTCACATTTCATTAAAATCAGTCCAAAGCTTGAAGATTAAAAAATATTTATATCCTTATGCTTTGCTTATACAAAAGGATCTTTAGGTTCTTTAATCTAGAAAATTTCCATCTCTGATTTGTGATAGTATTTCTCTTAAAAGTTCTGTTATCTAATATACTTATCTCCATTAATCTAGTTTAGCCTAAAGGAGGATGTTTCTGTAAGTAAATTCTATCATCTTGCCAGAAATAGATCTAGTAGTTGTGTAGCCAGCTAGGTGAGTGTGAGTTCCTAGAAGTGCTGGTTGAGAAGAGAGTCCATGGTAGCTGTAGGAGTTGAAGCCCTGCAGTGTGCCCACGAGGTCACCAGCTACGTGTTCTGCTGTGTTCCTCTGAGTCAGTAACTTCGGACTTTGGCTATTTCTGTAAGGTCTTGTGCTAATGAGTTATGTTTTGTCAAAGTGCCTAGGGCTTGCTTCACCTCTGGGACAAAATGTTTACTCAACAGTCCACAGAACTGTGGTGGTCAGAAAAGAAAGAGAAGGAGGGGATAATTGCCAGTGCTGTGAGTCTGCTTTTGCATGTGCTTATTGAGTCATTTCAGACTTCCTGACCTTATCAGCTTAGCTCTGGCCACGTGGTGGTTTGAAGAGAGACACCCTTCTCCAGCTTCCTCTATCTCTTTCCAATTTTGGATTCTGCTTGGGGGAGGGAGGACATCTTCTTGCACAGCATATCTCAGCTGCACACCCATAGTCTCAGGCTGGCTTTCTTTTTCCTCCTTACCTCGTGTCCTTGGGAGCTGCCCAGACCTCCACAGGGAAAGGCTGAACTCTGGGTGTTGTAAGAACTGCCTCCCACGGAGCAGGTGATGCACTAGTTACTGCTGCCTGCTCAAGGCCATGCTCTCAAAGCTGTTCACTTTATTTACATTATTGATGCTCTTAAAAACAAGCTTGTTTAACAGAAGAATTTCCATGTGTCATTTGATCCACTGGGCACGCTGACACAGCCCTAGATGGCTTGTGGTGATTTAAGCATTAGGGAGCAGCTCTTCTGCAGTGCTGGGGGTTTGTTCTGCACTTGCGTGGACAGAAGGTTTCTGTGATCTAACAGTTCAGATGTCAGCTAGTAACCTTTGGTAGGGTTCTGTCAGCAGCATTTGCTGGGACTGCTTTCCCAATTTGTGTGCTTTTCAGTTAAAACCTGGGGTCTCTAAAACTGTCAAAAATAAATAGGACTGCCAAGGACTAATGAGTGGTTAAACTAAGGCTTATAATGGGTGAAAGATATGAATGTAAAGTCTTTTACAGTAGTCAACTTCACTGAAGGTGATGTAAGTTGCAGCCATGTAAGTTGCAAATGGAGCAATCTGCTGATTTATCTAAGGAAAATACAGTGTCTGTGTGTGCACGGAATTTGTTACTCATAAAGTATCAAGGGCCTCATGTTCCTCCATTCCCATGCAAGTGTGCAGTGCTTGACATCAAGTTCCTACAGTCATGTTTGCTTGTAGCTTACCAGAGCTCTTGGGATAAGTATTCTGAAAAGTGAGTGGTTCCCAAACATATTTTTAAAAAATTAGAGTATGAAGCAAATCTCTAATCAGAATCTGCCATTAATACTGTGGTGTAACAGTCTGGGGTGGTCTTCATCCAGTGCAAAAGAGGCTATGCCTTTTAATATTTAACCATTTGCAGATGGTATGGCAAACACAGCTAAAGAGGTGAGTTACGGTAAATTTCTTTCACTTTTGGTCTTTGGCATCTGTACATCTTGGGCGTTTTGAGTTTGAGGTTTGCTGATGTAGTACTGGCAGCATCCCTGTGCAGTTTCACAGCACAGCACAGAAACCTGGCTACCTCCACTGACTAGCCAGACAACTCTGTTAGTGGTGCAAGTTCCTCAGTTCAGAGGTTTTTCATCCGTGTTAATGAATGGGGCAAATATTTCACTTTCTCTTCAGGTTCTTAAACTTTGGGCAGTGCTTGCTTTATTTTTGATTTTACATTGCTCACTTCAGTTCCTTTTCTAGCAGTGCACTTCTAAGCTGTCCTTTTGCCTTGCTGGTTTATGGTGCCAAGTAAACCCAGTGATACTCCTGTAGCAGTGGTGGAAAGTAAGTTCTTCGAACAGCATCTTGAATTAAATATTTGTATATGGATTATCTTTTGTCATTCCAAGTAACACTCCTGTTAGAAAAGTGAACTGTTTCAGCTCCTAGGGACTGGAATTAACTGTTCTTTGGAGGCCTTTATTTTAAGGGGATCCAGATTCAAAACAATCACGTTTGAAAAGGGAGAGGGGAGAGCAAGAAAACTTTGCTTAGATTAAGTGTCTTACTCAAATTTTATTTACACTTTAAGGAGAAACTTTTTTGTACAGAAAAATTGTATAATGTGGAGAAATTGGTGTGGGCATCACAGACAAACATGAAATATTTTTTAATACTGTAAGTTGTAATTAAAGCATTTTTTAATGTTCTAAGTTAAAAGTGAAACAGAAGAACAGGTAGGTAGAATAGCTTTCCTAACATCTTCCTTTGTTGCAGTTTTAAGAAGCTGGATTTCATGACACCTATGAGCAAATGATCTGTTTTTATTGCTGTTGCAATTGTGTTGAAACTGTGGCATCACTCTTGTCTCCATTCAGGATTGCCTTGAATTCAGGTTTGCCTGACCCCTTGCCAGGGTCCTTTTTGTTACCAGGACTTAGCTTTGCTAGAATCTGATTCAGTGTTTTTCCTGCTATGATCATGAGTTCAGTCTCCTATGGGTAGAACAGTGGCAGCTGCAGGAATTTCAGCTCCTGTGTAATCCATGGCCATTCAGAAAGCAATTTTCTATGTCTGAGGCAGTGTCTGTCGAGGCTGTTGGGCTTGGCTGTGGGAGAGCAAGGATAAAGGTGATGACTCCAAATTGTTCAGGAGTCTTCTTAAAAACTGGCAGGTATGTGGCACCTATTGCAGAGCCTGGGAAGATTTAAACCTTGCCTTCATCTGCTCTGCCTCCTCGAAGTGCTCAACACTCACTGTGTTGGCACAGAAGCCCCTTGTGTGTGGGGCTCTGTTGAGAGTGTTTGAGATTTGCCTGGGTTTGTTTGTTTTACCTGGATGAAATGTGTCTGGAATAAGCTGTCCTAGCAAGCCTGTGGTTTGGCTGATGTTTACTGAGGCCACTGACTGAATGTTTTGTAAGCTCTGCACACAATAGACAGACACAGAGTTTGTAGTGGAAAAGCAGGCGTATAACTGCATCTAGGGTAGAGAAATATGGAAGTGCTAGATGAGGAAGTACAAGAAAATTGGTGTGATGAGATGTTACGTCCTGATTTTTCTGGTAACTGGGTTGTGTGGTGAGTAATAGAGGGTTACTAAAGAGCCAGGCCCTGTTGCAGTGCTTTGATAGTGTTAAGCTGTGCTCTCCATCAGTGGAGGTTTCTTTCTACATTGTAGGTCCAGTGAATTCTGGACAGTTTTCTATGTGATGGGAATATCTTACGCAAGTTGTAATTTATATTATTTGTCCTCTCTGCATTTCCCCTCCCCTCTCATTCCTGCACCAAAAAAAAAAAAAAAAAATAAACCAAACAAAAAAACCAAAGACCAAAACAACAAAAAAAAATCCCAACTGCTGATTGTGTCTAAGGTGAGTAGAGTGAAAAATGGAAAAGAGCTTCTTAAATCAGGCCTTGAATACTGGTTTTGCAGGTGTCATTCATAGTTGCCTTAAAAGTCCAATTGTTAATGTTTTATTTTCATTTATAGACCCTATAGACTCCTTTATTTTGAGATACACATGCCTATGTGTAATGATTAGGACTGACATGGCCAAGGCAAAACTTGCTATAATAGTCTGTAAGTCAGAATAAGTCTGATGAGGGGCAGGAAAAAAAAAAGTCCTTTTTTGAACTTGAGAAAAATACAAACTTGTAAAATACAGTTTGGGATGTACATAGTGAGGCTGAGGCAATTTGCATGAAGCGTCTCATGTTGTGTGTGCTGCTTTTGCCTTCCTCTTGTGTTTCTGGATTCTTCTAACTTTTAATTAATATTTTTAGCCACGTAGTGAAGATAAACAGATATTACTATGCAGGTTTTACACACTTGTGTAGTCGAAGAAAGTTCCTTATTGAACATTTTGAGATGCAGGTTTTTTAGTGGGGAAAGGAATTTTTAAGATGATCAGCTGCTGTGCTGCATTGGTACTGCTTTGTTAATGCAAAGATAAACACTGATTATAGAAGCTGATAGTGGTGGTGTTATGGAGTGAGGTGTTGCTGTGAGTACAGAGCAATTACTTCAGGAGTAAACTGTGTCATTCTTTATCTACTCAGAGAATCAAATTTTCTGTGGGTGTTTGTGTTTTGCTGTTCCTTTAAAGGAAAACTGTGCGAGCTTGTGAAGTGTTTTCAGAGGCTGCTCACGTTTATTGCACAAGAGTAAGGGCTCCTTTGTACCGTGCTGATGGGGTGGGGTACCTGCACACACTTGTTGATAACTTGGACTTCAAAGTTTTGTTTTTTCAAAGGCTTTTTGACCTCAGGCTAGAGAGTCATGAATTACACATAGGGAGCATGGGGATGGGTGGGAATTACCTGTTTATTGCTCTACCTCTAGGGAAGGTAAATGAGCAAAGCCTGTTTACACACCGAACCATTGCAATTATTGCTTGTTTTTTCTCTGGGTGCAAGTGAAAATGTCTTAGGGAATGTGGGGTTGTGATTGAAGGAGGGGTGGAATTTTAGATAGGCATGTGGCCTGAGGAATGTGCCTTAGTGTTTTGCTATTATGTTACAGTCCAGATAACTCTGAATTCATTTCCCTTATTCTTTCAGCTGTTTTTGAAGATCATAATGCAGCAGAAAAATGAAAAGCTATAGAAGACATTTGCTTTGGCAAAGAAGTCAGCTGCTGGCCCAGTCTGGAAGATGGACCACTGGTTTTGGGAAGCTTGGGAAATACTGCTTCCAAAAGCAAGTTTTCCTAACCTAGAAGAAAAGACACAGTGCTCAGCTATTTGTGAGTTTAAATCACAACAAACTGTACAGAAGATTGCAGTGCAGAAGGAAGACACTTGAGCTCCAAAGCAGGTGGGCTCCTGATGTGCTTCTAAACTCAGAAACTTCTCCACAACTTACTGTTGAATCGTACAGCTTTCCTCTAAAAACTACTGAGAGCAAAAGTATCCTGTCCCTATTGCAAAGCTGAAAGCTCATCTGGAGAAGCAGTAAGGAAACTCAACAGTTAATCCTTTCAGAGTGAAGATCCCTTGAATGAAGAATTTGAAACTGTTGCTGTTCTCAGTAGCATCTCTGGCCACATCCATTATGTCTTATGTGACTCACTGGAAGGTGCTGCCTTACCTGTAAAGAAAGGTGGTTTTGTATATAGCGGGGAGGAGAGCAATAATGATGAGGGCAACACAGTCCTGGTAGTTTTAAATAGCTATAAAAGGAAATGCTGTTGCAAAGGGAGTGGAATGGAACTTGTGGCCCTTTGACAGTTCTAAAGAGGTCCAAATTTAATCATCATACTGTAAAAAAGAGATTTTTATTTATGATGCATAAGAAACTTTCTATGGTTAGGTTTCGGTATAGAATCATAAAATTCCCGAAACTTCGAGCAAGAGGCAAGACTTGCAAATTAAGAAAAATCAAGCAAAGGTGGGTGCAGAAAGTTACAAGGGACCATCAAGAAACGCTTCAGCGGGATTTTGAAAGTGGATTGTGTAATTTGTTTTCCTCCTGGAAATCTAAAAGTAAGCGTCTTTGGAAGCGGTACAGCTTATCAGATATGAACAATAATACACCCAAATCTTTAGGAGCGGAGAATGAAGTATGTGCACCTGAGATCTGCCACACACAGGATGTGTCTGCTGAGCCATGTTCTGAGGATGCAGAATCTGGAGGGCAGGATGGCAGTGTGGATGCTGGCCCACCAGAACTGCATGTTAGAGCTTCTCCAGAGGCAGAAACCGTGCACCAAGTGGAGACCAATGGGGCTCTAGCAGAGGATCATTGCTCTGACATTGTTGTCTCTGTGACAGGAAAAGAAATTGCTGTTTCAGATCAAGATGGTGAAGAATCCAAGGAGGTTGTGGGTATAGATGGAATGACACTGTTGCAGTCCTCCTTGCAGGATTCTGATGTCAGTGATAATTTTGCAAATGGACCTTTATCCATGGAGCTGACACAGAATGAGGACAGCTTTAGCCAGATGGAAGTAGAAGGCTCTTTAAACTTGGACATTTTTAGTTCAAAACTACTAGATCACCCTTACTGTAAAAGTCCTCTTGAGGAGCCTTCACCAGAAAGCACAGGACTGAAATCAGGAACTCGGAAGGGAGGCAAGAGGAACAGTCAGAAAACTTCCCGAGTGGCTGATGAGCAGTTGGCAACGTGGCTTTGTGGTATACTTTTTAAATATCTTAGGGCATCCAGGAGTTCCTGGAAGCTGCTGCATGTATTGTGGAATTTACATATTGTGTTAATTCCTTTACAAAAATTGTTTCTTACTCTGAATTGTAAAGGTCACTTAGCATAACATTTGATTAAATGAGGCTGCAAAGAGGACAGCTGCATGAAGGAGGGACAAATTAATGTTTGTCTGACAAGCTATTTTAAGATTTTGTTTTAGAGAATACAATGTAGTTTAATTTGGATCTGCAGAAAATTGTTGATAGGTATTTTAAATGTCTTATTGTGTGGAATCAAAAGGTTCAGGTTTTTAACCAGTTGACAGTTGTTACTCTTAATTTGGTTTTTGAAAATCCTAGGTATACTAATGCTTCCTTCTACTCTTATACCTCTTCTCTTGCTCTTAGTCTTAAACTAAATCACTTAAACTCAGGTTTTAATAGCCAAATATTGTTCATTTTCCCTTGGTTTTCTCTCCAGTTGTTCACAGAGTAAGCTTAATGAATCCTACAAGATAATATATTTTAAAAAGACTAGTCTTAGCAAAGGTTCAGCAAAAAGGCTTTGGGGTTTTTTTGTGCTATGCTGAACATGCAGTATTCGATAGTCTTTCTAAAGAGGAGCATGATAAAAATAGTAATTGGTGTCTTATTTATGTGTAGCAGCTTTTTACACACAGAGTAAGAAGCAGTAAGCTAACACGTTATGCCATATTGTACCATCAGTGTAACTTCAGAGATGTTCTGATAACTTCCTTTGGAGAAATTGGCTTTTTGAGTCCCATAAACTTCAAGCTGGTGTCAGTGAGTGTTAAAGGAAACGTGTGAAGATTGACATGCTCTGATTTTTCTGCCTACCTATTTGTCCTTCAATTTTGCAATTGATTTCTCTAAAGCAAAATGTGAAGAAGGAGACAGTGAACCTCAAGAGAGGAGTTACCTCTCCACATCCATATCTGTAAGTTAGTGTGGGTTGTATATCTTTGTGACTGGCTTTATGAGATCCAGCAAGGACCAGATGCTGTCTGAGAAATTGAGAGAAACTGTGGTAACCCAGTGAAGAGATCACTTCTGCAATGGACTTCTAAAGTTTGTACATCAGAAAAAGAGATGTAGTGCTTCTGTAACAGGCAAGAGCCAAGGTTGTATCAGGGTGGCAAAGGTTAAAGTTGTGGTCTGATAGTATAGTACTTGTGAGTTTTCTCAGCTGAAAAGCTGTAAAGTGGAAATTTAGTTGTGGTATAACTGGCAGGAGTTCTTGTGTGTTTAGGAGTGTTGTTAATAATTAACTGCACCCTAAAAGATAGTGCTAACCTGGCAAGAGTTCCTGGGGTAGAAACATGAAGGAGGTGCAAGTGTTAGGGCTGCTCTTGGGTTTTGAATTTCCCTGCAGCAGCTGAACTCCAGCGTTAATGGGCTGCAATGCTTAGTGCATTCAGAAATGCTATTAGATATCAAACAGCCCCATGGTAAAATCCTGTTCATGATGTCTCATTTTTGCCCTGGGGCTGAACTTTGTATTCTCTTCCTTGTGTTACTACACCAGCCCAAGTGAGGTCAGTCTTGCTGGAGGTCTGGAGCTCTGCTGCTCTTAGTTGTAATGACAAGAACAGCCCTTCCTCTGTGCATCCATAAAAAGCCTTGAAAATTTTTGTATTTTGTATAAAAAACAGAATAAGGTACACTCATAAGCCCCATGCATTGTCTAGCTAGACTTCTATCCAGAGTGAGAAACATCTTCCCTGTCACAGTGTACTGGGATGTAAGGGATAAAAGTTGTTAGGCAAAAATGTGGCAGAGTTGCAAGGAAGGTTCTTTTCCCATGAAGAATGCTTCAATGTGGTTTGATCTTGCTCTTCAATCCTTTCTCCTTCCTTCTGTCACACTTCTTGTTATATCTTCGCTGCTATTCTCAGCTCATTGTGGTTTGGGTTTTTTCTTGGTCTCTCTCCTTTGGTTTTTATTCTTACTGCTGTTCTTCTGGCACTTTTTCTGTCCAATGTTTCATCTTGCTTTTCCCTATCCTCATCTTGAAAGTTTCCAGGAAATGTTCTTAAAGCCTTCATAAGCACACACTGCCCTATCCAGTGATGCTCTGCCATCACATCCCAGCCTCAGAAGAGTCCTGGACTTTGGATTAATGCAATTTTCCTGGACTCTGATCTCAGATCCAGCTTTCTGTACACAGAACACATGTTTTCTGCGGCATGTGAAAATACATTTTCAGAGAGCTGGACAACTTGGTCTTTTTTATCTTGTTTACTTGCAAGTGTTGAAATCCTGTTCTCCATTCTCTTTCATTCTCAAAGTGGTTTTGGATGCTTGTGTGGAATTTATATCTCCAGTGTTCCAGTCTTCTGTTTGAGAAAGAAAAAAATCTATTTCCTAGATTTTTCAGTTCCTCCAGCATTCATCTCTTCATTATTTCCAAGTTAATATCTTTTTCTGGTGTGGTTGCTCAGTGTTTTCCTGGGCCCTGACAGGTTGACATGGCTGTCTGTGTCACCTTAAATGCCATCCCTAGGACACAAGGGTAAAGGAGTTAAACTTGCCGTGGTCTGTCTGGCGTCTTTTCTGTTCACTGTGGTGCGGCAGCGGAACTGAGCAGACTGCAAGTGCTGCCAGCTCCAGCTGCCTGCGTTTGAGGAGAGTCATTCTGTTTGCCATAAGGACAGGATACTGGCTTTTCAGTGAAACCTGTTGCATGAACTGATGGCTTTTCACGTTGCAGTAAAATGATTTAAAATGCTAATTGAAGTAGGGAAGGGGATGGATTCTTCTCTAGCACTGGTATAATTAGTTTGCTGTAGATATGTATGTGTATGACAAGAACAGGGGCTGATCTTTTCCTGTGAAGCTGAGTGATCAGATTCATGCTTTATTTTTGTCCTTCTTCCCCTACCCCCGCTTTTATTTAATGTTGCCAATTTGAGCTTAGTTTTCTTAAATATGTATTTGGCATGTGTGGTGCTGCATGTTGGTTGGGTGCAGAATGACTGCTGCTTGTATCTGTAAGAACTGGGAGCTTTATTGGATTGGTGAACTCAGAAGGTTTTTATCTGTTTGCACTTTCATTTTTCTGGTATATTTAAAGGATTCCTAGATGAGGTTATGAAGAAATACGGCAGTTTAGTACCACTCTGTGAAAAAGATGTCATGGGAAGATTAAAAGAAGTCTTTAATGAAGATTTCTCCCATAGGTGTGTAGCAGTATCGCATTGTACACCTGGTAAAGAACAAACCACTTGCCTTGCCTACTGCATGCTCTATGTCTAACAACTAGCAGAGCAGAATCCATTTGACATGACCTTGACTTAGTTTTTCTCTACCTTTTCAATTCTGTTTTAGAAAACCTTTTATCACCAGGGAAATCATGATGTATCGAGAAAAACATCCAAAAACCTCCACTTGCAATTTCCGGGTGTTCTATAATAAGCACATGCTAGATATGGATGATTTGGCTACACTGGAAGGCCAGAACTGGCTGAATGACCAGGTCAGAGATGCTTGGTGTTTATGTGCTTCCCAAACCCTTTTTAGCCCATTTATATTAGAATACCAGTTGTGTACCTTCTGCTGACATTACAGGTGGACTATCCTTACTTCACAAGTAAAAGGAGTGGTGGGCAGCTTTTACAGTGACAGGTGCAATAAGTCTGGAAGCTGGGAAGTGTCATAATTAGACTGTTTCCTTTTGAAAAAATGATGTTGTACTGATTTGATAAAATAGTAGCTACCCATATAGATTTTAGTAACTTCCCCCATCCCCAGCTTGAGCAGATTACAAGAATGACAGGATAAAACAGCAAACTGTGGCCTACAGCCAGAAAAACAGGAAGTCTGCAGAGCCCAGGCCATGCACCAGTAGATTTAAATTAAATTAAACTGCATTTAAGATTGAGGCAGACTCCAAGCAGCTAGTTACAGTCTGTCTCCAGGATGACCACTATTAGTTGCAGAGTGCTTGTCCTTCAGACAATGTGGCTTCTCTCCATATTGCTGGTTTAAGTGGGTAGGGGCCTATGTTTTATGAGCACTTGTGAATTTGGGTCTTAAAAATGTGTGATGTATGTATTTAACTATTTACTGACTCTTCCAGATAATTAACATGTATGGTGAACTCGTAATGGATGCAGTCCCTGAAAAGGTGAGGGGGTTTTGTTATTATGCAAATGTACCTAATGAGAGATGGAGAGGGGAAGGTGAAACTTTGCACACTTCAGGTACAGAATCAGGATTCAACTCAATGATGGTCTGAGTGGTTCCATTATAATTTGTTGCTATGTACTGCTCAGAATTTCTACATTTCCTTTTCCCTTTTCAGTGCTGTTGCTCTTGTTTCAGGAACTGACTGTATTAGCTGTGCAGGTGGTGTGGTAACCTAATGTCACTGATGTACCTGTAGAGGACACGTGCCCTGTTTTGTCTCATCCCAGTCTCTTTACTTCCCTAGAGGTTTCTGTTTCCAGCTTATCTGCTTCTAAAGTGCTGTATTCATGCTTTTGCTCACCAGCCTGGTGTTTCAGCTGAAATTTCTGATGAAGATGGATTTCTGCTGAGATGACAAACCCTGAGTGTTAGCATCTGAGCCATGCACATGTGCTGCTTGCACTCACCCTCCCACCCACCTCATAGCTGTGGGGGCTGTAACAGCTCGAGCTGTGTCAGCTGCCTGCCTGGTGAATGTGAATTTGTGTGGAGAGCTGCTTGGTTCCTTGGCAGTATTGACTCTGCAGGACTCTGTTTTGTACATCCTCAGAATGCTTACAGCTTTGCAACTGCAGTGCCTGACTGTTGGTGGCAGTTGAGAGAAAGAAAGCAAAAAAAAAAAAAAATCAAGATAACAACCCCCCCCATTTTGTGACTAAATTTTCAGCAGTGACAATTATAAAAACCCATCTGTTTACTAGTAGGGCAGAACAGTTTTCAGGTGAGACCACAAAGGAAGAACCAAACAAAGCCATTCTTAGAAGAGCTCTGCACAATGTAACTCTTAAAGTCTTCAAGCTCTGAAGAAAGTGTTGTTGCTTTGATTTGAGGTGATGGTGATTCTTCATTAGTATTCTCTATATTTCCTGAGTGTGCTAGGCTTGGAGTATTGGAGATTGTGTCTGTTTGCTTGTGTCTGCTTTTTCTTCCTAGTGCATAATTGAAATCCTCATGGGAGATTTTGTGCTGGTACCTCAGAATGTGGTTTTGAAGTCTGTTGGCATAGCTAATGGGTGTTAGACTGTGTTCTCAGCTGCTGAATTTTCTAACTTTTTTTTTCAAGTAACAAGCCTTCTACCACCTCTACACTAGGAGAATTATTAAAAACAGATGTTGCAGATTTCTATTTGTATTAATCTGTTCCTATAATTGCAAGAAGCTAAGCACAGGGAATAATAGTGTTAACCTGGAGCTGATTTTTTTTTTGCATAAGCCTACATTTTTTTGTCATAAGTGTCAGTTTTTACTTACCAAATGGATCAATCATATCTTAAAAATACTTCTCAATAGCAGAATATCGTTCTTGCTGGGAGCTGGTCATAAGAGTTGAATACCAAAGACAGTGTTGTTGGACTAAATCTCATAAATGTTTTGATCAATTTTCTTTTTCTGAGTCTCAGTTTCCAGCAACTAAAGCCAGAAGTTACTCCCTTCACCACCCCCACTTTTCCAGTCCAGTGTTCTCTTCCTTGATCCCTGTAAAGAACAACAAAACCTAACTTCTTGCCCTGGTGTTTTTCTCCCAAGTCAGTCCCCAACAAAAAAATTAAACATGATATGCCTAGAGATACAAAAATGTAAATATAAATGCTGCGGTGGCTCACATGATATATTATAGGAGAATAAGGCTTATTTTATTAGCTTGCTGAAGAACAGTAATAGTGGAGGCTTGGCAAAGCCTCTGTTTGTCCCTACTGGGGTTCTGTTTCTAAACCTGCATTAAATATTGCCTCATTACAAGTTGTTTTGTATAAATTATCCTGGGGGAAGGGGAATGACTGTGCATGAAAATTTCTATGCTCATTCCTCCTCTCTCTCTCTCTCTCTCTCTCTCTTTATAGGTTCATTTCTTTAACAGCTTTTTTCATAGACAGCTCGTAACCAAAGGATATAATGGGGTAAAACGATGGACTAAAAAGGTACCTTTAACACAGTGTCATCAGTGCTGGGGTTCTGCTAGGCTGGGCTCAGTCACTTACCTGAAGCTGGGTTACAGTGTGTTATTTACAAAGGATGGGTTAGCAAAGGAGCTGTACAAAGCGGGGAGGGCTTGATGAAAATAGTAGTGTGGCACTATTCAAGTTAGTACGGGTATGTTGTACTTGGAATGGCTAAATCTTCAGGGGGAGGTTATCTCTTTGTGTATGTTCATGCAAGTTGTTAATTTAACTGCAAGAAATGTCTCTTACTGCTCCTGACAGTGCCAGGTACACTAATCTACAGGAGAGCAGACTTAATTCTGCTTCTTCCTTTTATCTCAGACTGGCATTTGACAAAATCAAATTGTTACTCCAAGTAACACATACCAGGTACTAGAGAGCTGAAAAGAGACCCATGGTTAATAAGCCAGACTATTGTTCTCATGACAAGAACAGAATTCACCTTGCTTTCCAGAACCCACACCAGATCATGGGTGTGATATTTTCAGGGGTAGCTAATGCAAAAAGAAATACTCTCTTTTTTTTCATTTTTTTTTTTTCTGTGAACATTTGTTCTTTCTAATATGGGAGATGAGGCAAGACTAATCAAAGGCCATGTTTGAATGTATGATCTTTCTGCAGAAGTACTTAAATAGCACACATCTGTGAAATGCTAGAGATGAACTCATTATCCAAATATAAAATCTATTCATATGATTTATTAAAAAACTCTTTAAAGAGAGATAGAATACCGGTGCTTAATATTCCCACATATTATTTTTTAGACATTATTTTTCTCCACCAACCCAAGTTTTGTAAAACCCACAAAATTAGGGTAGATTCTGGAAGCAGGATCTCTATTGTTGTTGCTGCTGAGGTACCTGATGAAACAGGACAATTTTTAGACATTTACACTTAAATTCCTGAAGAATCTCTCAAGCAAGAATGAGAGCTAAGCAGTTTATATGGGAAGAATTCTGTAGACTCCTTCATCCTGCAATGTGTAATTAAGGGGAAATTTTTTCTGCTCTTTAAACACACCAGAGTATTGCACCATGTTTTATAAATGTTCTCTCCTGGGATACAGATAGCCTATGCTGGCTGTGGCTGCATTGGTTTCAGAGCTTCTGTTTGCCATCACACTGTCATTCCTGATCCACTGTCATGACACAGAGCTGACTCTGCTCTCTTGGTGAAGTGAACCTGTGTTGCCACCACTCTTCCTGTACATCAGTTCTTAACTAAAGACCCCACTTTTGGCTGCCTGTTTCTACTCTTCTGCTGCAGGATTGCACACCTGCACTAATCCCATGGGCCACATGAGGACCCTTGGGTTCTACGTGGTTCTGCTGTAGCTGAACATCACAGAAGATGTAGTTCATTTATCTTATTCCAGTTTTCCTTTGTGGTCTCAGCTTGCTGCTGGCTGATATCCCTCTGCTTCTCTCTGAGAGTGATGGATCAGTGTGTAGTGGGTGTGCTGTAGTCCGGTCAGGAAGCAGTTTCTGCAGGTGGGAGCAGGGTCAATGCTTGTCACAATCAAAGGACTGTTGTGAGCCAGGCTCAGCTGATAACTTCTGTGAATGCCCAGTCCTTTTTGTCTCTTCAACTTCCCATTGTTACTCAAGAAATAGACTTTTCTTTCCTACAAAAGACCTGCCCTTGCCAGTAGTGTTGCAATTATGTACTGTTCAAATTGCATAGTGCTTAAAAAGCCAGGAAGAAAGCTTAGAAATCTTCCCACAGGATGAGTTCATTTAGTTCAGTATTCTATTTTTGCTTATTTTCTGGACTGTGCCACCAAAACCCCAGTAATTACACACTCATTTCAAGAGGAGCTAGGAGAAGGAAGATCATGAAAGGCCCTGGCTTGGCTGGCTTCCAAAAGCATAAGGGCTCATCTGCCGTACAGACATTGGGGGTGTTGCATCTGATCTACTTGTTCTGTACTTCAAGACCTTTTCCCTTGTTTGCTTGCCTGTGACCACAGTACATCTGCTACAAAGTTAGCTTTGAGAAAGGATGAATCTGCTCTACCTTCTTCCCCCCTTTCCTCTGCTCACCAAAGCATCCTGCACTCCTCTGCCTTCCTCTGGCAAGTCCCAGAGCCTGTGTTAAAGCAGAAGGGGTCAATCTGCAAACTTGCTGGTTTTGTGGGATGTTTGTAATTACAGCTTCTTCATAGAATCATGGAATGGTCTGTGTTGGAAGGGACCCTACAGATCATCCAGTTCTGCCCCCCTGTAATGGGCAGAGACACCTTCTACTATCCCAGGTTGCTCCAAACCCTGTCCAACCTGGCCTTGAGCACTTCCAGGAGTGGGGCAGCCACAGCTTCTCTGGGCCTGTGTCTCACCATCCTCACAGGGAAGAATTCCTTTCTTACATCTCATCTAAACCTATCGTCTGTCAGTTTAAAGACATTCCCTCTTGGGAACCCTCAAGGGCTCTGTGCCCTTGTCCAAAGTCTGTCTCCAGCTTTGCTGTAGCCGTTTAGGTACTAGAAGGTGCTGTGAAGTCTCTATGGAGCCTTCTCCAAACTGAACAGCCCCAACTCCTTCAGTCTGTTTTCATAGCACAGGTACCCCAGGCCTCTGAACATCTTTTTGGCTTCTGGATGTGTTCCAATAGGTCCACCTTCTTCTTAAGTTGGGGGCCTTAGAGCTGGACACAGCACTGCAGGTGTGGTCTCCTGTGAGAGCAGTAGAAGGGCAGTCACCTCCCTGACATGCTAACCTCACTGCTTGTGATGCAGCCCAGCATGCAGTTGGCTTTCTGGGCTGTAAACGGGCTGTTGAGTGCATGTTGCTGCATTGTGTTGTTGAGCTTCTCATCAACAGCCCCAAAGTGTGTCACCTACTCAAAAAGCAGCTCTGATAGAAATGAATGATGCTCACACTGGATAAGTGTCATTACTGAAGAGATGTAGCTAACCTAAACTGAGGCTCGATTGTATTGCCATCATTACCTAAGAAATGCCACTTCAACACAGATGTTGCAGTTCAACATGAGCAGGATTTTGTCACAAATACGGTAGTGATTAATTCTGATAGTTACAAGGTTTCTCAGCCACTTTCTGGACTGTAACTGTATTTTTGTGCCTGCAGATAAGTTGTGTATTTGGTAAACATAAAGAATGTGGTGAAAGATTGGAGGGGGGCAGAAGAAGATTTCAGTTACAGAGTGGTAGAGAGGAAACTTGGATACAATTAATCTTTTGCTTTGCTGTATTCTGCCTGTGGAACTCTCTCTAATATATGTTGTTCTTTTTGCCAGGTGGACTTGTTTAAAAAGACTCTCCTGTTAATTCCTATTCACCTGGAAGTCCACTGGTCCCTCATTACTGTGAACATCCCCAGTCGAATTATTTCATTTTACGATTCCCAAGGCATTCATTTTAAGTTTTGCGTAGAGGTAAGAGTGACAGCTGTGTGCAAAGTCTGAACTGTTTTCTTAAACAAAACACTCCCCCTTTGTTTTCGTTCAGCCATAAACTTTAAATGTGGTGTGTCTGTCATTGTCTTGCTGTGTATGAAATGAGAATCAGCCTGTCCTGCTGAGGAGTCTGAAGCACAGAGCTTGAGGGTCACACCAAAGCTGGGAGCTGAGGTCAGATTGCCTATTGCCCAATTAGCCTGACCGTGTAATCAGCACAGCTTTGGTGACTTTGACTTGGCACTCCCACAGAAAGCAGGAGCTCAAAGCCCAGTGCCGTGGGGAAGCAGAAGAACCCCAAGGAGAGAGAGGGCATTTCTTTAATCTGTTAAGGGACTTGTGTTTAGGCTAAATGATAAATTGTGGTCCTTTAGGGGATAGGTTGCCTGGGTGAGAGCACAGGACTGAAGATGCTGTAGTGTTGCCCAGTGGGGTTTATGTGTTACTGTGCTATTGACAGCGTGTTGCCTTTTTCCTTGGCCTGCATTGAAACAGAGTGTTTGCCTCTGGTTATAACCCAGCAACCTTTCAGGGCTGCAGTCTGAACACTGGAGTTAAATTATCAGTCTTCCTGATAAAGAGCAGCCAGGAAATTTTTGCTGGGCTTAGCAAATTGTAATGACCCTCTTACAAAAGCTAATTTTGTCAACTTAATTGCTTGCTTGATGCATCAGCCCTCTACTTTTAACTGTGTGTAGTTGTTGGCTTACAGAAGAGTAGTAATTATTGTACCCAGGAGAGTTCCCAGCTAGGACTTCTGAATGAAGATGCCTGCTGGCATTTGCTGAGGATGGAGCTAATGTTTGTCCTGGGAGCAAGAGATCTCATGCTCTCTAGCTTGTGAATGTTCAACATGAAGCAGCCGTCCCTCTTGGCAGCCCTATGGTCTCCTGCAGCCTTGCAGTGTGGTCTCTCCCATCCCATTCCAGGCAAGGCATTTGCACCTGAATGTCTCACAGGCATGAGGAACTTTTATTTCTGCCTGTTGTAGGGGCAGGAGGGAAGCAATACCCAAAATTAACTGTGATCCACACACTAAGTGTGTGCTGCAGTGTTTGAATTGTGCTATAAATGTCCAGCCTGTTTACAGAGAAGTAGGATTTGCTTAACCCAAGACCATAGTCTCATTTATCTTGCTTCCTTCTCTTCACTTGTGTCAGCCTATTTTTTTTCTTATATGTTACTAAAGCTCTCCCTGGAGCTTTGTTGATTAGCTGCAGAACTCGAGCATTTTGTATTGAGATTCCAGCAGGAAAATGCCGTCGTATTGAACGTAAGGGTCTTGGTGTCAGCCAGCAAGCCAGGAAAGAACACGTGCCAGGCTGCTCTGTTTTTCTCTGCATGTCTGGGAGCACTCTGACCTTGTGCCTGGGTGCCACAGCTAGTCTGGTATGAAGTAAAGCAGTGTACAGTGTGGCTGAGGGGTGTTAGAGCTCCCCTTGATAGATTAAAATTAGTCTTGGTGGTAGTCTTGGTGGGTCACAGTACCCACCAGATTTCATTTCTTTACCTCTAGATTTGAGCTCCGCTCCTAATGCTCACCTGAAACTTGTCCTCACTGTCAAAAGGATACCATCCAAGCAGTCAGTGTCTCTCTCCTGTTCTTTAGTGGGTGAATAATGTTGCATTTTTCCTCTTTCTTCTTTAAAGAACATTCGAAAGTATTTGCTGACTGAAGCAAAAGAGAAGAATCGCCCCGAGTTCCTTCAGGGTTGGCAGACTGCTGTGACAAAGGTAAATGACAGCACTTTGAGCCCTGGGGTCTGACTTTGTGGGAGATTTCATGAAGCTGCTTCTAAATTCATATATTTGTAAAAGTAGTAAATGGGTTTATGCTGCCCATGGAGGGTCCTGGGGGAGGTACAGGTAGTTACATGTGGGAGTTCCAGCTCTGTTGCTCATTCAGCTCCCACCAGGGCTTTGGCACTTTCTGCAAGTGACTTGATGATCTGAGCCTTTCTCTGCACAATTAAATGTGTGCACAGCAAAACCTGCAGCTGGTGTCCGTACTGAGACAAGGTCAAGAACTGAATGAACTGGACACTCAGCTGCCCCTGAAAGAGCTGTTCTGAATGGATGGGCTTTGGTGAGGGAGGGAACAGGCTAGTGTTGCTACTGCTGATATTTTATGTTTGCTATGAATAGAGGTCTCCAGGGCTGTTTGTGGCACATTGCATTTGATTGCAAGTAAACAAAGTCTGGCAACAATAAAAGGGAATAACTTGTTGTAGTGTAAATGAGGGAATATGTAATTTGCGTAGCCATCCCATAATGGCTCCAAAGATATAAAACAGGTCATTGCACACTAGACATACTTCCAAGCTCCTTCCTTGCACAGGTTTATTTTTAGATGCTGATACAATGATGAAATGATTTCTCTCTGCACTCATGCACAACCTGTGCAGTCAGTTCATCCTCCTGCATTCTGTGAGGCAGAAGATCTAGGAATTGAGAAAAAACAATTACTTTGCCTTTTCAAGTGCCAGATACATAATAGCACTAGTGATTGGGACTTTTTAGCTCTGCATCTCAAAATTGAGCATGTTTGAGGAAATAATGAAGGTTGAAAGTTATCATTTGAGACTGCCTTGCTCAGTCCTGTTGCCTAGTGATGAACCATTTGTCATGTTCTCTGAAACTCTTTGGTGTGGCTGGGGGAGGAAAGCCACTGCTGGTAGCATGGATGCCGAAAGTAATCTTCCTCTAGGCCTGTGTGACTTTGCTGATAGAGTTTTGTCCCGTGTAAAGTAGATAATGCTGTACAAACATTTATTTAAACTAATTGAGAAGCTGTTCTGTGTAGGTCACTAAAAGAAAATAAACTTGAAAGAAAGACTTGTAATTTATTTTCTGTCCTACACTATATATTTTTCTAAATATTAGGTGCTATTCTATCAAGGTGTTGAGTGTCACCTTGCAAAGTTTGAGATGGGAACAAGTAATTACAACTCCTGTTCCTGGCGCTGCAGAACAGCTAGCTCTGAGCATGAGACAGCTGATCCTTACGCTGAATCTCCTTTTGGACTTTAAGCAGGAGTTAGAGAATGAAAGGATAAGTAAAAGGATAAGGATCTGACAAGTCTCTGGTTGTTTCTTTCCTTTCAGTGCATTCCACAACAGAAAAATGACAGTGACTGTGGGGTTTTTGTGCTCCAGGTAAGATACTGCTTTTTAAAAATCAGTGGCCTGTATTGTTCATGTAGTAAATGTCCTTTTTTTCAACCAAGCCTTTTCCTTTTCCCCAGTACTGCAAGTGCCTCGCCTTAGACCAGCCTTTTCAGTTCTCCCAGGAAGATATGCCCCGAGTGAGAAAAAGGATTTACAAGGAGCTGTGTGAACGCCAGCTAATAGACTAATAAAATGCAGCCAACCTAATTTCTCTGGCATTTCTGACAAGTTGCAGCTGGTGTTTGTGTACTTGAATTTCTGAAAACTTCCATGAATTTTGAGCGATTCTCAGCTGAGTGGTGTGGCCACTGTCGTTACCTCAATCTTTTGCAAAGTTCTTTAATTGGCAGAACATAGCAGAGCTGCCATAGACTATTCCTAATGTCAGTTTGGTTCTCTTATGTTCTCTCCTGTATTTAATATTTATTATTTCAGCATGCATATAGGCAAAGCATGCAACTACAACCATGAAACGGTTAGATTTGGGGCACCTTTGAGGTGTAGCTAGAAATGACAAATACAGGTGAATTTGTCTGGAAAAATAAAGATGCATGATATGTTTTCTGATGCAATAATGCTTTGAATGTATGGAAAAAAAAAATCAATGCCATAAAAAGAACAGCTAGAATCTATTTGATAGTTCCATTGTCCCTGTCGTGGCTGTGTAATACTGAATACCACATTTTAGGGTGGCTAAACTCATCTACAGTTTTAATTTGTGAAGACTCCTTTTTCAAATAGTTCAAGTTGCTAATAAAGTTTGTTCTGTTAGCATTTCTCTGGCTGTCATTATCAGCCTGTCCCTATAGATAAAAAGCAGCCTTTGCACAAATAAAGCTTCAGCACTTGTCTGTATAATAGAAAGTACAGAAGTGTTCAGTCAATCAGATGGATGGTAAGTTCCTAGATGCTGCAGAAGTCTCCATGATGTGTGTATTAAGGAGAATTATAAAGCTGACCCTGAAGAATCAGAGCTTAGATAGTAAGATAAACTCCTTGGCTGTAACTGTTTACATCTCAGATGGCTTTGAGTCATTTCTCAGATCCACGATATGCAGTAAAAATGTACCATTTCTCCCTTCAGCTCTGTCTTCAAAGCTTGTTGTCTTTAACTTCCCGTTGGCTTTTGCTTTTGTTCAAATGTAAATGAATTAATTTCTGCTGCATCTGCTGTTTGATTGTCTCGAACATCCCTGGTTTTGTCTGCGTTCAGTAGCATGGATGGGTCTGAGTGGGAGTTACAGCACTTGTGGTGGGTGCAGTGCAGGTGATGTCATCCTGCTCGCAGGGCTGGGAGCCCACGAGCCCAGCCTTCAACTTTGAAGGGCTGTCGTGCTGGGCAAAGAATGAGTGAGAGCAGTGGATCTGCTGGGCTTTCACCTTGGTCTGTAAACTGTGATGTGCTCCTTGCTACTTTTGTTTGAAGAGATTGTTCTCTGGCACCGCTACACCGGCAAACATCTTTGCTGTATTTTTCTGCCAGATACAGGAATGAGCCCAGAGGAAAAGTATTTTCATTGCTAAACATCATCTGCTGCACAGCTTCACTTTGTGTCCGTCCATAGCCCTGGTTTCTGATGGAGGAAAACCACTTTGACTTCCTTGTCTTTCAAATTAATTCAGACTTGAGCTAAGCCAGGTGCAAATCCCTCCTAGATGACGGGAGGGAGAAGGGAGGGAGTGCCAAGCACAGTCAGGCCAGGAAGTGGAAGCACGTGCACACTATGCTGTGCTGGAGAAGGAGTTCCTGCAGTTATCCTTGCATGTTCCCACTTCCCCTTGTTGGCAGCTGGCAAGGACTGGCTTAATTTAGCAAGATAAGGAAAGCCTTAAGCACTTGGTTAGATAATTTAAACAAGGAACTTAATGAATCAGAAAGAACCTAAAACCCAGACAGGCAAGGTTCATCTGCCCATTGTACCGTGCAGAGCACCCCACAACACATGGTTTATTTGTGTTTCCCTGAGGTGTAACTGACAGGACAGCAGCACCTTCTTGAGGTGAGTGCTTGTGAGCAGTGGAGGGTGACTTCCATGGAAAGTGAAACTCGGAATGGAGTTTCTCCTGTGGAATAGCACATAAAAGCCAGTGCTGCCATTCTCATCTTCTCTGTGCACTGGTGTCACATGAACGGTTCCAATGCTTTCATGGTGGGACAACTGATCCAGGCCATAATTAACCCACAGGACAGTTCTTACCTCAGTAAGAACTTGCTACTAAATATCCTGCTAAGAAGGAATACACAGACTTGGGTGGCCAGGAAGAGATTTGGAGGTGGTGCCACTTGGTTGCATGCAAATGAGGCTTTATTTTCAAGTTAGACTCCTGACAGAAAGGGAGTGGAACAAAAAGAGAACTGCGTGAGCAAATTGCTTTTATTTTCAGAACATGAGCAATTTGGTAAGGAAGCTTGAAAGGTGTCCTGTGAGACTACCAGCCTGGGAGGCTCAATGCCTCAAAGAAAGACCCTTATTTTTTTTGTGGAGGTTGCCTTGTTGATGGATATTTTTCATTGCATGGGAATGTGCTGGAACACTGCACTGCAGACAGTTGTTTCCTAAGGCTTGGTGCCTACTACTGGTTGGTGGGCATCCATCTTGCTCTCTATGAGAGGTCATGAGGAGTCTTCAATCACAATCCCCTTAGCAGCAGCATCAGCCAAAGTGATTTCTGTGAACTGTGTGTTGAACATGGGTGCTTTGAAGCAAGTGCACGTGTGTCCCAGATCGTTTGAGGGGAGGGGGCTTGCATTTCAGTCTGCTGCCTTGTGAACTGGGGAACAGGGTGGGGAAACATGCATGTTGGAAAGTACTTCTTATGTGCTTTCTTGTCATCTAGGGGTTTCCTGACAAGTGTTCCAGTTGGTTATGGGGCAGCACAGAGGAGTTGCACTTGAGTCTCCAGCTGTGAACACACCAGTGAGGGGCCTCTGAAAAAAAAAAGGAGGGGAAATTGAAAACAGATCTAATGTAAGCAAAGTATGTTGGTGCAGTGTTGAAATTAATCACAGGCAGTCAGAATCTCAGGCTCTGTAATGGTGTATCCTGTGAAACTGGACTAATTAACTCCTCCTTGAGAATGTCTTTGATGCCTTAAAGGAGATGGACTTCATAATCTGTAGTCATTTTACTAGTTCTTAAAACATTCAGAACTATGTAGAGTGTTTTTATTATGAGAGGCACATTTATGTGGATGTAGTTATGGCTGTTAGCAATTCCATTAATGTGATCTTCAGATTTTCATAAATCACTCTGAACTGGTTTGGTGGATGCTTAAATTTCACGACTTGTTCCAAAGAGATTGTCTCGCTGTGCTGATTTATACAAATAGTCCCAGAACGGGTGAAGCCTCTGCCTTGTGCGTGACAAATTTAAGCTACCTGAGTTGTAATAAACCTTAAACGGAATTGAAAATGAATTATCAGTTTCCATTTCATTTGCTTTAATCTATAGTTTTAAATGACTGTGCCCTGATACAAATCAATAAATGCAGAGTGTGGCCTTGATTCTGCAAGGTGAGTGGAGAGATGCCTGTTGCTGAGCTGCTGGTACTTGCAGAATGGAGGCTGGACCTTTGTGCTGTCTAATATGCAGTTGTTCTGTTCTTACCTGGCTCTCTAGGGTGTGAAGGTGATATTTTGAATGTTTCACATGCACTGATCACCGAGCCGGACAGGCTTGCACAGAGCTGCTGGCTTGTGTTGAATCTCCAGCGTAATGCTTAACCTACCTTTACATTCTCAGAGTTTTGATTGGCGTTATCTACTGTAGCATTTACTCAATTCAACGTGAAAATTTAAACCTTGGGAAGTGCTGCAGAGTTAACTCCACTGAGCAACGACTGTGCGCTGTGGGTGTGCTCTTGCATTGAATGAAGCCCATGTTCCTGTGAAGTAATAAATTTGAGTTTTACTGTAAACCCTATTTTCTTTCAGTGGTTTGGTTTCATTTTAATTTTAAAGCAACTGATGTGATGTTTGAGGGAATGTTTGTAGCAGCTTGTTTTGGGATCTGTTATTAGGAGAAGCCTCTCCAGTTGATTAGTTCAATAACTCTGAGCTGAACGCTAATGATGCTCTCTGTCTTGCAGTGATGTAACTTTCTTTGGTTTAAGTTCTGACAACATACAAGATTGGAGATGTCACCCATTGCATAAATAAGGGTGGAAATCTTGCATTAGACATTTTCTTCTAAGGTGGCATTTAAAGAACACAAATCTGTCAACAGAACACGTAGGACTTAAATTGCTTTTCTAGATCAAGCTACACTAATGCCCTTCTTGTATTGCTTGTGGATTTAGCTGTGTAACTATAGAGTTAAATCTTGTCTTTGCCATGTTAAAAAGCTATACAGCTTGTGAATTTGTGATAATGGTGAGAATGAAGGCTTAGCAAATGTCTCTTTAAGCTATTAATCATGAGACTGGCAACATCATTGTCTTTATTACATTCATAATTTAAAATCCTATCATGGAGGAGGAAACATGGATGCTTGTTAAATATATTCTTCAGTGGAAAGTACTAAGAAATCAGATCATTAAAGTACAGAATCATAAGAGACACTAGAGCCTTGCCAGGAACAATAATTACTATTTATATGTAATAGGCACTGGGAGGGAAAAAGATGAGTCTGGTTTGCTTATGCCTGAACTTAATGGGTTTTATGAGTAACCAGCTAGAAGGATTTGGGGATTGAATTTCATTTCAGAGTGTGTAATATTACAAGCTATAGAGCTAAAAACTGTTGTAAATGGAGTGAAATATCTTGAGAAATCAACTGGTTTGTTTTCTCTCAACACAAGTAAGCAGAACATGTGCGAAGCAGCTCCAGTTCCTGCCTGAAATTCTGATGAGTTCTTAATTCTTGGGCTTAATTTCAGCATTGCTGGTAACTCATCTCCCCTAGCCTGGCACTCTGAGATTCCAGACCTTACCTAAACACTAAAGTTACCTGGGGCTCTTTACAGACAAACTTTGAGAAGTGACTGAGAGGAGGAGGGATCAAAAATCCATTGGGGAATCTGGTTGCACTACCCTGTGATAAATGTTTTGTGGGAGGAAGGGCAGGGGAGAAACTGAGCTTTAAAAAAGATGTATTTAACTGGGTAATGTGGGTCAGGTCATGTTTATGGTACCTATAGAGCTTGATGTGGACAAGGAGCCATCTTGTTTATGGAAACCTTTGAGATGAGTGGGAGAGAAATGCAGGGAAGAGATGCCTTCTGCAGGGATCATTGCTCTGCACAAAGGGACACTGTCTTGTGTCAAGCCTGTGAATTTTACGTCAACTTAATGCAGGCAGCAACTGCAGCAAAGGAAGAAATTCCCTCTGCAGTGTTCAGCTGAACATCACCTTTGTTTAGGGCAGTTGGGGCTTGACAATTTATCCTCAGCATCTCTTGACAGCTCCAGCCCATTGAAGAGCTGGCAGGCGTTGCTGCTCCAGGCAAACACTGGGCTGCTCCAAGGGAAGGCACTCTCAAATCCAATAGATTCCAGCTCATCTTTCAGGTCTGGCTTCTTTGGGGTTTCAGGTTTGGGGGGGTTGGTGCTTTTTGTTTTGTTTTCAAAGAAGTCTGAAGTGCAGACAGTATTAGGGTAATTCTTCAAGTAGTATATTCCCTTTTCATCCAGGAAACTTGGCTTAGGAGATCTGCTCTCAGTTTTGCATACTGAAATGCTTCTGTTTCACTATTAATGGGCAGAATAGAGTCTTCAGGGCAGAATTTTTGGCAGAGTTTTGGGTTTTGTCCTCTGGGGAACGGCTCTTCAGGTGAATGTTTTTTTCCTTTAGAACATGAATATAGCTAAAATATTCTTAAGTAATGAAATGTAATACCTTGAATTAATGGCCACTTTAGATTCTTGTAAGCAATTGGTTGTCCCCAGATGGGATGTCCTAGTCTCTAGAAGGGACTGGGAAGTATTTTGAGGGGATCAGTGCTATTTAGAAAACAGGGAGCATAAAGGTCCAGCTCCCAAATTCACCCTTTGATCATTTTACCCAAACATCAGAAACAAAGGATTTAAGCTCTGGTGTAGTTCTTAGCAGGACTGTGGGTGATGGCCTTTCCTGGGGCTGTGGGGGATCCATCTGAGTCAGATGGATCTTCCCAGGCTACTCTTTGGCCACCAGATGTCACGCAAGGACCACCAGAGCAGCGTGTG